TTATTACTTAATTTTTATTTTATTTTATTTTTAATAAAGACACGAAATGTCTCGACCATATTAAATAATAATAATAATAATAATAATAATAAAAATAAGGTCTTACAATTTACTCGTAATAATTAGTAATTCCCTGATTTAATCTTTGACTTAATGATTTGACCTACCTAATAGTATTAACATAATAGCTTGCAAACACGGTGGTGACGTGCTCACGTTAATGGATATCCCCCATGGATTAATTAATAAAATAATATAGTTAATAATGATAAATGATGAAAGTAAGGACTTAAAAATAAAATTTTGTAGAAACAGGTCTAAATTTATTTGTAATGACGGAAGGGAAGTTGACGAGAAAGTCTCTAATTAAATTATTTTTAAAAATAAAAAAGAAATGAAATAGGTGCAATAATAGTGAGTTAATGATTATAAATTAACTAAAGAGAGCAGTGAAAGTGAAGAAGTGAATTTGGAAGGTGTTATTACCTGAATGAGGCCTTTGATAATATGATCGGAGTAGTACTCAGGCTGAGATTTCTGCAAAGACAAGAGATGTTCGATCATGGTGTTGGCTTTGTGCTTCCCACTGCGATGCTCTTGAAGGAGACCCTGCAAGAACGCATCTGCTCTCGTGCTAATCGCCTTCAGCCTCTGCTCCAAACCGTCGAAATCGAACAACCTAAGCAGAGGCACGAAGTCTCCCTTGTTGCTTGCGCCCAACAACATCATCATCTCCGATATTATGTCTCTGAACTGCTTCGCTTCCTCCGCATCCGCAGCCTCCACGTCATCGCCGTAGTACCTTTTTCCAGATATCATTCTCATCATGTTGTTGAATGTCATCTCCGTAAGCCTGCAAAATATTATATTTATTTGCTCACTTATAGTTATAATTAGGTAGCTGTAGGTCCCACAACCACTGTCTTATTCATCTTAATGACAAACTATTCCATGGCCAGCAATTCTTATTATTACTTTTTTTTTATAAATTAAAAAAATTAATTAATTTGATATTAATCACTTCCTGAGTCTAGGTGGTTCATGGATCGCTTTTTTTTAAAATCCGAAACAAATCAAATCGATCTTATAAAATAGATTAGTTAATCAATTTGATTTTTATAAAATGTATTGGTTTAGTTTTTTTAAAAAATCAAACCGAACCAAACTAATTTATTTTGTAAAAATGGATCGGATAATTGAACATGTTTTATAAAGTGGATGAGTTCGATTTTTTTTTCTATATAGATCAGATCGATTTAGATCAATTTGAATTTTTTGCACACCCTTACCTGGGTCTGAGTTTGACTTGGGTGAAGCCCTTGCATGATTCATGGACAAGCTTTTGGATGACCCTCATGGTCTCTTCCCTTCGGATGTGGAAGAAGGAGTTGAGGCGTTGCGTGGAGAGGACGTCGATGGTGATGATGCGGCGGAGGTTGCGCCAGTGGTCGCCGTAGGAGGAGGAGCCCATGCTGGTGTAGTTGTAGAAGAGGTACTTTCCGGTGAGGAACTGTGGGCGGTTAGCGAGGACGGTGTCGTATTTGGTGAAGCATTCTTGGACCATGGTTGGGGAGGAGATGACGACCACAAAGCGTGAACCGAACCACAGAGAGAAGATGTGGCCATACTTTTGTGACAAACTGTGGAGGGAGCGGTGGAGCAGTGGGGACTTCAGCATGTGGAGGTTTCCGATCAAGGGAAGTGTTGGTGGACATGGTGGAAGGTTTTTGCTTCCTCTTCTTCTTCTTCTTTGTAGGACAAACTTGAACGTGAGAATGAAAACAAGAGCAAGGAGGGAGTAATACAAGAAGGGAGCCATAGGGTTTTACTTTTGCTCATGCTCATTAAGCTAAGACCTAGGATATGCTTTTATAGCTCAATTTATTACCATTTGCTTATTATAAGTATATAATAACTAAAATATCATTATAAGTATTCCACATTTATACTCTTGTTAATTAATTAAGTATAAGTATGACATTTGCATGTTAATTAAGTTTAAGTTTAAAACACTGAGTAAACCTATAATTTTTTTTCCAATGAAACACTATCTCAAAGTTAATATATTAAAATTATGTATTCACGAAAATTTTTATTGATAATTGCGAAAATCAATTACAAAAGTATTCAGTAGACTTTTCGTATTTCAAAACAATTATTGAGCAAGAAACTTATGTGTATATTATATAATGGGATATGAACATAGAATAATGTATATCTAAAGTTCAGTTCTCTTCCGGTAAATGATCCACGGATGCAGTTTTCAAAGTTTAATTAATTGCCGTTCACGGATGTAAGTAATCAATGAAAAAAAGAAAGTAAGAGGTTAGTTATCAGTCCCTTTCACTAGGGTGAATATATAAACTTTTCATTTTATTTTTAATTCTTCGACATTATGATATTATTAATTAATTAAGAACTTTTTTTAACTTTTTATTAACTTCAATTTTTGTTCATCACATTTATTCATAAATTAAATTTTGATATTTTAAAATAGTATTAATAATTAAAATAATTTTACATAACAATATAAATTTTTTTGTTCATCACATTTATTCATAAATTAAATTTTGATATTTTAAAATAGTATTAATAATTAAAATAATTTTACATAACAATATAAATTATCTATCATAAATTTAAATATAATTTTTATATTAATAACATTTATTTATAAAAATTTAAATGAATTTATATATTTAAATAATATTTATTTGAAATAATTTATTATAAATATTAGTTATTTATAAAAATATATAAAGAGAATATTATTTTTTGTCTATTTTTTCAAAGATAAATATATCTTTACATTTTATTTTATTTTATTTTATTACTAATTTATATTTAAAAATAAAATAAAAAATAACTATCCTCTTTAAAAATAAAATTACTCACTTTTTAATGGAAATACTAATTTATTTTACTTTTTTTCAGAAGAAGCACGATGCTAATATATAATAATAAGGTTAAAATAGTAGCACTAGTTAATTAGTGCAGTTGTACTTAAAAAAAAGTCGGGGGGTTTTAATCGCATGCCGCGTAACAAAAGACAAAGTGAACGTTTGAGGTATTTTCGCTTTCCTGGATCCTCTCAATAAGGAAGAGTATTTATTTTTTAAGAAATATTAATCATTTATTAACATAAAAAAAATTGTTAAATATTAACGGCATTCTTGTAACAGCAAAAGAATTAATGTTCCAAATAATTTAAAAAGTACACTAAATTATATTTTCTCACGTTTTCGTCTCAATTTTGCGTTGGTGATCTCTCCTAGCTCCATTCATTTTGGGTGATGTTGTCATTGTTTCGACCTCAAACTCACGCTCTCTAGTCCTTTCTCTCATGCACTCTGGTTATTTCCTCTTGTCTCCTTTACTTTTTCATTTTAATTTGTAGTGTTAATTTTGTTGTTTGATTTGATTTGTCGGTGGTTGTGAATTTGATTGATTGTTTTGAAGTTTTAAGGTTCGATTCCTCCTAGATAATTGTTGTTTTGATATTTTGGGTTTGAAAGCTTTCATATAAGTTGACCATTAGGTGTTCGTAAAAAGGTTGCTCTATAATGTTCCGGCCGGTAGATCTCAGTGCCACCCAAAATCTGATTTGCTTTCTAACATTTATATAACATTGTGTGTGAATTCATGCACTTGATGTTAAAAAACATTGGGATCTCACAAACAATGCCTAGAAAAAAAGACAATAGAAAGGAAGATATAGAAAAATATAATTTGTCATTTATTTTTCAAACTTTCACCCTACCCCTTCTTATACAATGAATGTACAACCAATCTATTAATAAATATTTGAGTAAAACTCTTAATACTAACAATAACAAAGCAATTAATATGTCAACGGTAATAATAAAATAATTAACATTTATTATTATATATATATATATATATATATTTTGTACAAGAAAATGTTCTTGTACTTAACTGTTCGTATTTATAGGATTGAATTAATATGTAGTAAGGCACCACCTTTTATCTAAAAAGTGAGATTTGTCTTTTGAATTTAGATCTTTCCAAAACTTTTTCTCTATTTTGGGTTACTTAGGTGAGACTAGAGAGAGTTTTTTATTATCAAGTCTCGCGTAAGCATCCATTTGTCACACTTAATTAAGAAAGTACTTTCTAGGGTCTACATTTCCTGTGTTTCATTTAAGCAAGATATTAGACTCATTTAAGCAAATCCAACTCTAGAGTAGGCAAAACATTCTAATCTGGTCCCGTGGGTACCTGCCAAAACCCGTCCCGATTTGGATGGGAAAAACTTGTGTTGATCGAGTTCGATTTTAAGTTCAGATTTTCCTCGATTGGTAAGATCAGAGACGAGGATGTTAATACCCATCTCGCTCCCTCCCCACCCCGCTTAATAATATAATTACAAAACTACCTTTATATATATATAAAAACCTCTGCCACTGACTTGCTAGAGTAATTAGCCTTTAAGGTAGAAAAGTGACCATACTTTGATAATCTATCAATTACAACGAGTATGACAGTAAATCCATTTGAAGAAGGAAGGCCCATGATGAAATCCATAGCTATGTCATCCTAAATATGTTCTGGAATTGGGAGTGGCTGTAATAGACCTGCAGGTAAAGTGTGAGCAGATTTTTCTTGTTGACAAACCAAACAAGTTTGAACAAACTGTTGAACATCCTTGTTCATACCCTTCCAATAAAATTGAGCCGAAATTCTAGCCAATGTCCGTGTAAAACCAGCATGCCCTCCAATAAAGGAGCTATGAAACTCATACAAAATCTAATTAACCAGATCATGAGATTTAGGTATAACCAGTCTACCCTTCCAGAAAAGCAATTTATCATGCACTGAATAATGAGGATTTGGAGGCTTATTAAGCAAGCACAAGTCTAGAACAACCTTTAATTGAGTATCTTTAGAAACAACTTCCCTCACAGCAGGCAAAATTTGTAAATTAAGCTTAGACCAAGCCATAAAATATGATATAGACAGTGAATCTGTAGCAATATTGTCCTTCCCAGGCTTATATTCAATGGTAAAATCATATCCCAATAGTTTGTGCAACCACTTCTGTTGTTCTGGGGTCTGAATAGCTTGTTCAGTTAAGCTCTTCAAGCTTTTTTGATCCGTTCGAATCACAAATCTATGTCCAAGCAGATAATGGCGAAACTTGGCAATAGCTTCCGTGATAGCATAAAATTCTCTAGTATAGGCAGATTGTTTTTGCATTGAAGCAGACAGTTTCTTAGAGAAAAAGGCAATAGGATGATGATCTTGATTGAGAACTGCACCTATACCCACTCCTGAAGCATCCGTTTCTTATATATATATATATTTAATAGTATATTTGTATAATTATTTTATAAAATAATTAGTAAATGATAATAAATTTTTGAGATTTTATTATCATGTATATTCAATTTGAGTAAAAAAAATGAGGAATATTTTTTTAATTAATAAAAATTTTAATTTATATATAAAAAATTTAATTTGGCACCTCCAAAATTTTAATCTAAGTTCCGCCACTGCTTTAAACTAAATGGAATTATTTGTATGTTAAGATTTAAATTAAACCAAAATTAGTTTAAAAAATGGTTTATAATTTTAAATGTTTTTTTTTACCAACAAATTATCTAAAATTTTGTCTAAAATATGACTCTTTTTTATGACTCTTTTTTTTATAAGAACATTGGTGCGAAAAAAGGCTATGAAATTAAACTTAAAAATAAGTTATATCATAATTGATTTTAAAGGAGAGACTGACATTTTAGTAAATATGATGAGTTATATTATAATTAATTTTAAAGGAGAGACCGACATTTTGGTAAATATAGATACCACATTTAAGATCGATTCTAATGTAACTAATTTTGTATTGAATACAAAAATTTGTGTGTATTTTATATGTTGCCTTATATTTTTTTTGAATCCCTTCCTTCCTCACACACGAGTTACTTTTCCACGACCATTTGTCTTCTTCTTTATTATTGGGTCTCTAATTTTGCTAATGATTTGTTATGAGAAGACAAAGATCTTATGTCACCACGAAAGAGGGGGAAACCCATTTGTATTATCTTGGTGTTATGTTATATGGATCCTTAGAATCTACTCATTAAATATATCTAAAAAAATCTAGTATTTTATGATTTATATTTTAGACAATAGAATCTTGTACGCAATGCTGATAAGAAATGAAATTAGCATCAAATGCATATATAAGTATTCGAAAAAGGAAGAAGAACTCCTAAATAATCACTCACATCAAAATCCCAAGATGGAGTCTCGGTCCTTTCAAATATGACTGTAGCCTTTTTCAGTTCACGAATTACGGGCAAGGGTCTGGGCCTATCTCCATGATCATCGCTGTATCCATTTAATATAACTTTGTTAATAGAATGCTAAAAGACATTTTAGTGCCAAATCTGCTACATAATATAAGAATACATACCTTGTCCACGGGGCGGGTTCATTGTCACATCTAACAAATAGATACCGGCAAACTTTGAAACCCTAGTTACGAAAATGCCATCAGATATGTTGCATGAATTCGAGCAGTAGGAAGATAGGCATACAAACTATATCATAATATTGCACATATCTACCTGCAATCCAGCTATCTGCCAGCACTTTTCAATTCTATAAATTCCATCATACCGCACGCCATTCTCGGGGGCATATGAGGATCGCTTTTCTTTGTGAGATCTGCTTATTAGAGATTGTGTAAAGATGACACCAGGTGAATTATTAAATATACAAATATATTGATTTAATGAAAGCTTTCATGTTTAATAGAGCAAGCTAGTCGTATATATGATATATATTGTAATAAATTTAACACAGTTCCAACCAAAATTAGCCATGGATAAGAACCAGTGACTGGCCAGGTCCACCAGTTAGATCATAAATAGTTGTAGACTTAAAATTAAAACCTCAATTTTGCAAATGTGAATTAGCAATTTAATGAAATTTATGTCGCTTAAAAGTTAAATGAGGAATAAATCTTATGCACATGGCTTTAAGAGGAATCACAAGCCAAATGCAGCAAGCAGTTTGATGAGCATATAGGTCAAATGAAGCAAACAATTTACATGTGCAGTAGTAACTCTAGATAAGTTATAAATTACAATCGCAGTATTATATCCTGTGTCCGTAGGAGGTGAGTGAATGCACGAATTAGAGTATGAAGCAGGTGAAAGAAAGGGTGCTAACCAGATCGGAATATATTTATATATATATATATATATATATATATATGTATACACCAAAATTAGAGAGGCATTTTGGCCAAAAGGGATGTAAAAATTTTATATTATCTTACTTTTCTTTTATTTTTTATTTTTCATATTTATTAGAAGAAAAAAAAAGGTCTAGCTAGGAGCGAGGACGGGGGCGAGGCGGGGAAATCCGAACCTCGCCAAGAGTGGGAATGAGTATCTAGATTTTATCCCTAACGGGTATCGAAGACGGAAGTGGAGGCGGTTTAAATCTGCGAAGGCAGAGGTGGGAAACATAAAACTCGCCCCGCCCCACGCCATTGCCATGTCTACTCTAGAGATTTACAATTTTCTCTTAAGGATACTATTTTTCATATTTAAAGACCCAATAAGAAAGTTATGACCTATTTCAAATTCTAGTGGGATTTTCTTTAGAAAAAAAGAGACGACTATAAAGTACTCCTTAACTTTCATACCCTTCTTCTATGTTTATCCATCTATTTTCATTTTTCTGTGACCATGAGTATTGGGTTGATGTTGTTAGACCTTATTCCACGTCTCTTTTCTAAATTGATTATTCAATTTTTATTTTAATCATTTGTTCTTCATTTCTACCTTTCATACTTATTATGGTTTGATCACCCATAAAATGATTTTTTGGGAATGAATGTTATTAGAAGACGCTTTTGAAACATGAACTCGAAGAGAAGCCTAAGAGCAACTCCAATGGGAGTTGCTTGTCCCATGAAGCAACTCAAGTCCCGGTTTCTTGCCATTGGAGGATTCTGACGTGGCAACATGAGTTGCTTGAAGAAGAGAGAGAGTTGCTTCCTCAAGCAACCGTTCCTTACCAGATTTCAAGCAAATCTTATTGAACATATTTGGGAACGTTTCGAAAATAATAATGATGAAAATTAATTTCGTATAATGTTTATGTATTTACTATTATTTTATTTTATTTTTAATATCTACTTATTGTGTATTTTTTTTCATAATTTATTTTCTTTCATCGTAGTGCAATTATCCTTTTTAATAAAAATTTAAATTTGGTTCATAAATGATTAGAAAAAAAATTCTAAAAGTTAAATTTCTTAAAGTTTCTTACCATTGGAGTAAATTTGTGTTTGAGTTGTTTAAAGCTGACATGGCACACTAGAGACTATTTTTTTTATTTTTTAATGCATGAAGCAACTCAAATGAGTTGCTTGCATTGGAGATGCCCTAATAAAACTTATGGCTAAGAATAGTGTTAGGTTTATTAGCCAAATTTTATAATATTTTATCTTAATGCAAGTTGTTTGGTTAACTTTTACAATAAATTAATTGATTAATCAATGATCTTAGATTTTTACACTTAAAGAATTAGGATTTAATAAATAATTTTATGAGTTATTGAAATAATTAAAATCTAATAATCAATTGTTTGACACATGTGAGGATGTTCAAATGAAATCAAAATCCGACATTTGTAATCATATTAATTCAAAACAAATTTTCTATAATTTTAATTAATTAAAAAATCCTAAAAATATAAATTTTATTATTTTCTTTAAATTCTTGAAAAAAAAAATCAATATATTGTTTTGGCCTTAATAGGATAATATTAAATTAGAATACTATTACGTTAAGTCTCATGAAAAATAGTAATTGTAATAGTAATATTTTGAATAATTTATACACCTTTTTTAAATTCTTATTACTTAAGTAATAGTAATATGTTGTTAGATAATGCTCACTTTTTATAATATGAAATAAGATTTAATTTTATTATCAATATAATGAGTACATAAGAGGTCACACATAAAGAATAAATTAAAAAGGGAAAATAAATATTAAGTACAACATATAATATTTCTTTTGAGTAAGACTCGTAATGTAGAGTAGACAATCCATCGATTCCTAAAGTGTTACTCTCTCTTATATAATCCTTAAAGTAATTAAATTATATAAGTAGTTCTTAAAGTATTGGAATTTGTGCTACATACTCCCTTAAGCATTAAACAAATCCACAAATAGTCCTTTTGTATTAATAAATTTCATCAACATATAGACCAAATTGATGAATTTTCAATACTGTAAAGACTAATTACATAATTTAATTTTAAAAAGCTTATTTGGAGAAGAAAAAGAAAAGGTAATAGTTGAAGGACAAAATTGATAGTTTGTTCCATAGTGTATCACTCCACATAAAAGAAGGTTAGACTAATGAGAAATTGTTACCTTCTTCCGTCTTTGTTCTAAATTAAATTTTAATAATTATTTAAAATAAATTATCAATAGTGAATAATAATTTTATATTATGATTAAATTTATTCACTGTAAATCCAAAATATAATTTATTGGGTTAAATATATTTTTTTTTAGTCTTTGAACTTTTTTTAATTTTTATTTTTAGTCCTTAAACAAATTTTATTTGATTTTAGTTCATAATTTTTTTCCCAAACAAATTAAAATTCTTAACATGGATAAAAAATGTTAGTGAGACAAAAAATTGATGGACTAAACTGAAAATAAGCAAAAATTCAGAAACTAAAACTAGTAAAAAAAATTTCCCAACAACAAAATTTTAAAGACTAAAAATATATTTAACTTCAATTTATATATTCAAATATATTTATAATAAATTTTAATTATATATAAAAATATTTATATATACATTGCATCAACTAAAATCTCAGTATAAAAATAAAATATTTATTTTATGTAATATAATACTAAAATGCGTTAAATTAATCTAACTTGTAATATACTTATATTTCATAAATTAGAATGCATTACTTAAAAAAAACAAGAGTCTTACTCTAGTTTTATTCATTATATATATATATATATATATATATATATATGAGAAAGGATCCTTTTACTTCAGGAGTAAGTTTACCTAGACTTATTCTGTTCAATAACTCATGTTCTACATTAAATTTCAACGATTCAACCGTTCAGTTTAAAGTTCTTAATGCATAGATTAAATCTGTAAATTTTTAGAAAATTTGAAAATTATTTGATGCTTCGTTTTATTAATTCGAATCAATGTATAAAATGATTTTATGATTATCCGTCAATTTGAATTAATGAAATGAAGTATCAAATGATTTTTGAATTTTCTAAAAATTTATAGATTTAATCTATTCATTAAGAACTTTAAATTGAACGGTTGGATCGTTAAAATTTGATGTAGAATATGAATTATTAAACGGAATAAGTTTAGGTAGACTTACTCCTAGAGTAAAATGATCTCTCCTCTATATATATATATATATATATTTCAGAGCATCACAAGTGTGTGTGAATGGATGAAAGTGATTAAAATCTAGATTGGTTAAGTTAGACTGGTTCATATGTTGGCATATTAAGGTTGGTGAGAGGAGACTTGCAGCGATCTTTGCATTGCCACTTGACAATATATAATTTAGATATGATTCATATCTGATATCTAAGGTAGATGAGAGGACACTTTCAGCTACCGTTACCACCGCTCTATATATAAACTATAAACTCCATATAATTATGCATCATCGGGATTTTAACTTAATCATTCCGTAGTAAAGGGTAATATATATATATATATCAGATCAGCATTTGGTTGACGTGTCTTGGGTCGGTCTATTCCATACATAGTCCTTTATGTTTGAGTATTATGTTGGATCAACAATTTATAGATATGTTTCGGGTCGGTTCATAAGAAATCACTACGGTACATATATAAGTAGATAGATATTTTTATAAATAAATTAAATAAATAATAATAATATTTTTATAATTTAAAATAACTTATACTTGAGTTTATTTGTAAATTTTTTTCTCATTTTAATTTATATATAAATAAATTTTAACTCATCAAAAAATATTATTATTTTTTAAAATGTTTATAGAGAAAATTTTTCAAACATATTTTTTTATTATAAACCTTGCGAAATGCAAATTTTTACGCGAGATTCTATATGTATCTCCCTTACGTTTCTTGACAATAATGCCTATGTTAGATGTATATATATATATTGAACCAGCTATAATGACTGTAGTAAAAAAAGTAATGATTATTAAATCATAAATTATTATTATATATAACAAGTTTATTAATGTTTATAATAATTATCTTCTAACAGTTATAATAACAATAATTTTTAATTAATAAAGTAAAATAATTTATACAAAAAGTGTATAGAAAATAAAATCTAAAAAATGATTTTAATTTTTTTTTATCATTTCCATTTCAATTTTATTCAAACATTTCGTTTTTATTTCATTTAATTCAAAATTCAAAATTTCCCCTCTTTTTCATGTTTTTCCATGCAAATATAGCATAAATAATTTGTTTTTTTACTGCAATAAGTTATTAGATGAAAACGTGTATAGCAAAAGACGGTGTTATAATTTATTAAAAAGAGTTTATATGTTAATGAAGAAGCAACCTAAGCATGTTGTTGATTATCTAATGTATGATTGACATTTTTCAAAATTCCTTTCCGGCCCTCTAATTAATTTATCTCT